CAAGGGTGAATGGCCATACGGAAATCCCTTCTCCTCTCAGGATTTTTGGCACACATGCATATACTCCTGCCATAGCTTTATCCACCAGGTCCAGGACTCTAACCACATTTGACTACATGGAAGTCCAGTGACATGACCATTACTCCATCTGCTGGTCCCAAACCCCAAGTACTTCTGAGGAAGAGGTGATACTTAATGGAAGGGAAATTGCAGACATTTTTTCAGTAACTTTCTTTATTTCCCTTTCTTTTTCTTTTAAGTTTTTTTGCCATAGGGTATGTGTACTCATCAGAGAGAAGAGGGAAAGTTAGAAATCACCCCCCCAGGGGAGATGGCCATTCCACAATCCCTTCTCCATTCTGGGATTTGGGGCATGCACACACATGTACCTGGCATGATTTTCAAGCTGCTGAGTCTAGGACTCAAAGCACAGTCAGCCATGTTGGAATCCAGCATCTTTAACCACCACACCATCTGTTGGCCCCTTTTCCCTCTTTCTTGAAAGTCAAGTAATTCAACACAGACAATCAGATGAGCTAGTCATGGGTGCAATGCCATTGGATATCATTGTTTTTACAATGATAAAAGTTAAAGAAGAAATGGGACAAGCAGTTAGCTTAATGGCTATGTCGCTAGACTCCCACGTAGTCGACCACGGTTTGCATCCTGGACCCGGTGGCTTAAAACTCACACCGGGACATGTGCGTGCATGCCCAAGATCCCGAGAGGAGAATGGAGGAGAGGGGATTGCGGCATGGCCATCCCCCCTGGGGGTTGATTTCTCGTTTTCTGTCTCTATGTCTCTCTGTCTGTCTGGCAAGTGCATGCGCCCTATAGCAAAAACCTTTCAAAAAAAAAAAAGTTAAAGAAGGAATGACTTCTTAAGATCACAAAAGCAATTTTATTTATTTATAAGATAATAATATAACTGAAAAGTCTGAAATTTATGTAAAGGTCCAATTTGTCAAAATGAGAAAAAAAAGCTTTCCTTATGGTTTTTATAAACCTTGTAGTTATATATAATTAGTGAATTCTAAATAAGTCTCTTTAGAATCTCAAATTTCCTTTGAAAAAATTTGGAAAATAAATCTTACTTAAAAGAAGAAATTTTACAAGAATTACATTTTTCTATATTGGATAATGGGTAATTTTTGTTTTATTTTTGGCTACATAATTGCCTACCAAACTCTATTCAATTCATTCAACCAAATATAATTGAATATCTAAACTTACAAAATCTAAACTGCACAGTTTTTTTTTCTTTGTTTTTGAGAGGTTTTTGCTATAGGGCGCGTGCGCTCGCCAGACAGAGAGAGAGAGAGACAGAGAGACAGAAAGCGAGAAATCACCCCCCAGGGGGGATGGCCACACCACCAATCCCTTCTCCTCCATTCTCCTCTCAGGATCTTGGGCACGCACGCACACGCGCCCAGCGTGAGTTTAAGCCACCAGGTCTGGGATGCGAACTGAGGTCAACTACATGGGAGTCCAGCGACATAGCCATTACACTAACTGCTGGTCCCTAAACTGCACAGTTTACATTTTTCTTGATAAACATAGAATTGGTTTCAGAATCTAGAGTTGCCTCAACACCTTAGCTGGGAATGGGGGTAGGGTTAAACAAGTATGGAGTAATATTAATGTATTTCTAAGGTTGTCAATTTATTTAAATAGCAAGTAGCAATGGGTGCTACAAAATCAAATTTGACAGCAATGCAAAATTACGCATTATCACAGAAGTCATATTTTAGTTGTTAAACTTTAGACATAGGCTTCATTGCCTGTTAAGTACAATATGGGTAAAAATCTGTGGTTAAAGTGCACTTAACTTTTGTACTTGATCAAACTTATAGAAGAAAAACAAAACAAATATCCTTATCGGAAATAAACTAAATTACAATATCAATGAATGTATAAGGAGACTTCCAAAAGTGTGTGGAAAATGGAGTTGAAGTATGAGTATATTTTGGTATAAAAAGAAATTGTAATCCATGCATTTTTAAAATATATATCTGTTCTGGGACCAGTAGTTGGCATAATGGCTATGTTGCTGGACTCCCATGTAGTTGATCACAGTTCAAGTCCCAGGCCTGTTGGCTTAAACTCATGCCAGGCATATGTGTGTGTGTGTGTGTGTGCCCAAGATTCTGAGAAGAGAATGGAGGAGAAGGGATTGCTGTGTGGCCATTCCCCTTGGGGGATGATTTCTCGCTTTCTGTCTCTCTCTCTCTCTGACTTTCTGGTGAGCGCACGTGCCCAATAGCAAGAATCTCTCCAAAAAAAAATAATAATAATACACACACACACACACACACACACACACACACATGTTCCATTAACTTTTTGAAGACCCTTCATATTATTTAATATTTTACTCTCTTAATATGCATACTAAATACTGTGACACATACCTGTTCTGGAATGCCGTGTGGTATCAGTGTTGAAAATAGCATACGAAAATATTTCTAAGATATATAGATGTAAATATACAAAAAATGATATATTTATGAGATTCTGCTGTGGTCTATCTAGTTTAATTTTCTATAGATGTCTAGGTTGATCTACATCCAGGTTATTAGCTACAGCCAAAAACATACATATTTCAAATACTTTATTGGTTTCATTTACTAAGATCATAAGAAATCCAAAGGTACCGTGTTCTTAGTTATATGTGATTGGCTGCCTGACCTGACTTAATTAGCTAGACTGACTCTCCTTGAAATGACTTACTGTTTGAATTTTGTGGAAATCCAGGCAAGGAGGATGGACCATTCATCCCAGGGAGAAGGACGGGAGGAAGGCCAGGTAGTCCTGGGTAGGCTGCCGGCAGGCTGATGCCATGGAGGGAGCTGCTGTCCATCACGCCTGGCTGCTGCACCGTCAAGCCCAGCACATCTGAAGCTTTCTTTATACGATCAAGTTCTTGCTGTGCCATCAGCTGTCGAACTGTGGTCGGAGCTAAGTAATCTTTCTCCCGATCAAGCTGACTGCCAACGGTCTCCCTCACCTTTGAAATGTGCTGTTTGGAGAAAATATGATCTCTGATGGACAAGCGGGCAGAGTACTTCACCCCACAGAGGGTACACTCTGGCTTGGTGCCTTCTGTTCCACTTTGATTGATCATGAAAGGCTTCCCTATGTTGATTTTAAATTTCTTTTCCTTTGCCCGTGCATTTTGGAACCACACCTGGACCACGCGTTTGGGCAGACCAATCTCATTCCCTAGCATTTCACATTCTTGCATGGTTGGAGTTCGGTAGTCACTAAAGCAAGCCTTGAGAACCTTGAGCTGCAAATTGCTCATCTGGGTCCTGAAACGCTTGTGGCCTGGCCGCTCATTACTTTTGGATTTAAATGGATTGCTGGATCCAAATGGGTTCGGTGAGCTGGGGTCGGCTATGCTGGACGTCTCACTGCGGTCAGCATTGTCATCAGGGTCGTCCGTGATATAAAAACTTTGGTCATGGTCGCCATCTTTATCATTGAAATGGATCGATGGACTGGTGAGAGAAAAAAGAAATTTGTCATCACAGACCTCTGGGGTAGGCGTGGTGGCCGTTTTTGGCAAAGTGTCGAGAGTCTTCGGCTCTTTAGGAGATAAAGCTGGCTTCACATCCCCAGAACTTCCCGTGGTGCTCTCCATTTCAGTGTTTGCCTCATCTCCCGTGGTGGCATCACTGATCGCCGTATTAATGGACGAAGTTTCATCGAAATCGGGTTTATTTTGATCATACCCAGCCTCCACAGGTGCAGCAGTTAAATTCTCTACATCTTCCGAACATTCGGCTTTAAAAGAAGAAGGGCTTAAGAGATTCTTGGGCGACAGTTCTGCTGTTTTGCTTACAGGCGTTGACACTGTCGAAGCCAATTCATTCTCACTTGATAGATCGATTTTATTTAATGGCAAAGACGGATAATCAAAATAAATGTATTTCTGTGGGCTTTCTCCCCCATCCTCTGTTGCTATTAAAGGGCTTGGTGGCAAGCTGTAACCTGCCTGCTTTCCTTCATTCCAGTGCCGAGAGCGAATGTGGCTTTCCAAGGCTGACTTTGCTTTGAACAGGGCTCGGCAGAATGGACACCGTTTATGAGACTGTGCTGGGCCCACTGCCCGGAACTGGCCTTTCCTCTCGCGTGCTCGTGTATTCTGGAACCAGACTTGCACGACCCTTTTTTTCAGCCCTACCTCTCGTGCAATGTGATCAAGCATTTTTCTGGTAGGGTTGGAATCCAACAAATATTTTTCATAGAGTATTTCCAGTTGTTCCGGAGTGATGGTGGTTCTCAAGCGTTTATCTCGGTGTTGGTCTTCACCGCTGTTCCCTCCCTCCTTCTCACTGCAATTGTTATCTTCTTTATCATCCAGTTTCCTTTTAAGAGAAGCAGCGACTGTGGCGGAGGCCGTGGTGTGTGAGGAATTGGTCTGAGGTGGCATCTGTGTGAGAGAACTGCTCAGCAGCTGTCCCGTCATTAGTGGGTTGTTGGGGTCGAAGATCATGTAGGGCATATCCATGGGCCTTTCCAAGAATGGAGAGTGGAGGAATTGGTTTTGAGCAGCGAGGAAGTGCATGTGCTGGTGCTCCTGCCAGAGTTCCAGAGTTGGGAAGGCAACTGTACACTGGTCACATTGGTATTGTAGTAACTGTGGAGGTAGACTGTTCTGGAGAGAAGTCATAGAAATTTGCAGTGGACTGGAAGGAATGGGAGTTTGAGAGGCCGAGGGAGGTCTTCCAATAAGTTGGGGTTGTTTTGGTGGCTGCGGCTGTGGCTGGACTGTGGACGCCTGTGGTGGATCTGAGGAAGTTGATGCTAATGGCAGGGCTGACTTGGTGCTTTGAGGAGGGGGTGGGGCGTCACTCTGCTTTGGCTTTTCTGTAGGAAATTCCGGTTTTGGAGAAGTCTTCTCAGGTTCTGGTTTGGGTGATGGAATCAGAGGGGTGCTAGTCCCAGAGCCAGAACTTGCTGCAGGGGCAGCCGTGCTTTTGGCTGCATCTGTCTGACCAGATACCGTGCAATGCTTGTACACCACTTGGTCAGTGGCGTCCATGGAGTCTTCAGTTTGGCTTTCGTCTTGGGCATCATCATCTTCATCCTTATAACACTGTTTTTTCTGATGTGTGATCAAGTCGAAGATCCTGGGGAAAACCACATTGCACTTTTTACATTGGTACTGCATGTTGCTCGTTCGAATATAACGTTCGTTCGTGAGCTCTCTTTTTTCATTATCTTTAGTTTCCGCTTGATTTTCATAACTCTTTCGCGCTTTTTGACGGGCATTCTGGAACCAAACAACAATAACTCGAGTAGGTAGGTTGAGAACAGTGGACAGCTGCTCTATTTCGTCATCTTTTGGGTAAGCGTTTGTGTCAAAAAAGTCTTGTAGAACCCTAAGCTGGTAATCGGTAAACCGCGTTCTAGAAGACCTTTTGCTGAACGATGCATCAGACTTGTAATGTTCTAAAGAGGCTGGCTGTGGATCGATTCTGATGTCTTCCAAAACAGTGATGGGAGGGTTACTGAAATTGTATGGTGAATCCTTATTTCTCTGTCGCTCCTTAAAAAGCGTATTGCGAAACCAGTGTTTGATGACTTTTTGAGAAAGGCCAGACTTCTCTGCCATTTCCTGGATCTGTTCTTCACTTGGAGAATTATTGATGTCGAAGTAAGCCCTTAGGATTTTTAGTTGGTCATCTGTAATTCTTGTCCGTGGGCGTTTGAATTGAGAATGTCTTAGGAAGTTGGGGTCTAACCCAAGCTGCTGCTGGCAAAGCTGAGTGAGATCTGCAGAGAGAGTGTCCATCTGTGGCAGCTGCAGGGCCAGCTGGGGAGGAAGCGCGGGGTGCTGCACAGGCTGCATCATAATGGAAGGAAAGA